GTACACAGGAGAACCSTCGAGGAAAACAATAGAACAGAGTTCTTATTGCACGTGTATTTAACTAACTCAGTCTACTTACCCTCCTAATGTGTGTTTGCTTTTCAAATGGTGCAGTAATGTATAAAATGGTAAAGCAATATGAAAATATACAGGRGGAAGTAAAAGTCAATACAAAAAACCAGTCTCACACCTTGAGCCTGGTCATGGAGTCCATGGGCTGAGCTCATGTTCTCAGGTGGATTGCAGTCAATTATCACWGCAACATGGATGTGATTTACTCCACTGAAGAAAACAACCCCTCTGTTTGGGATTTTATTTGCATTCTCGGGATTTATCATTTGGGATTATGTAAAACTGGCAGCTGCTTATAATTATTTGGGGTTTGAGTAGAAATAATTAAAAACATCTGCCTTTATCTTAATACTACCAGACTTAAACCCATGAGCTCAGTTATACCTAACTTCAAAGCTGAAGGCAAAGAATAAAAGAAAGCTTCACATATTGCTAACAAATTCTCAGTGATTCATTTATATGTACAACCAGTTATTCAACAGCCTTCAAACCTTTAATTATCTTTTAAATATATGTAATTTTGCACTTCTAATTAGATAGCAATTTAATGCTCTCACAGGGATTCAGATGGGCTGTCTTTTTTGAAATGTAAACTCCAATAGGAATAATCATTGGCATTCAAATGATTGAATTCTTCAGTTATTTAAATGAACGTGAGGCATTTACACTGTTCAAATAATTTAAATATTCTGCTGTCAGCTACAGCTGTAGAGTTTTATGGAGTCAATGAATAAAGCAAGGGTAAGTGTAGGTTATCTTACGTTCCAGGCGGGACTCCCCAGAGAGAAATGAGATTTGCTGCTTCTGAAAGGCTAACACTGCTTAAGTGGGGCATTAATGTTTCCCCTGACACTTGGATCTCTCTGTTTTTCTATATTAGGAGAAACAAATTTTCCTGGAATTTACAGCTACAAAAGGCTTAATACTGATCTAGAATCTTCAAACGCTGCAGGTCCTTCAGCTTAACACAACACTCGGTGACAGTCCACATTGTAGGGYTGAAATGGAAACTTAGGCACCTAAACCAGCAAGATGTTTTGGTGAGGGCACTGCAATATATGCAGGCTTTTGATTTCTGAGTGTAACTTTTCCAATCAAGACTGATCAAATTAAAGCTGTGCATCCTKGTACAGAAAGCAATGCATCCGTTGAATTCATTTACAGTGCTGAGAGAATTCAGAAACAGCCATTCATAAACCCAGATTACAGACCTTCCAGAGCTTGTTTTGAGAGTAAGAATAAGTGTCTCCTTCTTCTCAGAGATAGAGGATTTTGATTTAAACCCAGAAATGTTACCAAATCTTTAGTAATCAGGGATGTTATTAGATTAATTCATAAATCAGAASACATTTTTAACCTTAGATTTATTTTAAAATGTTAGAATGTGAGTAAGATATGCACTTTTTATTCAAGAACATATGCATTTGTCTTTAAATGCATATTTTCTTTAATTAAGAAACTTAGGCACCTTGTTCAGAAACTTTGAGGATTCTAGCCTAAACGAACCTAGTATTTACTGAAAAAAAAGCCTCAGTTCCACACCCTGAACAAAAACGTAAATCCCATTGCTAACTATGAATCAAAAAAGCCACAGAATTCATAAAAAATGGTGACAATCTTGCTATTATTCATTGAAAACCACGCAAACATCAGGGCTGAGAGGCCACAACACAAATCCCAAACACCAGGTGAGGTTCACAGCGGTGTTGATCTGTGCCTGTGGCAGACACTCATCTTCCAGTGACATTCCTGAATTTCCCTGTAATCCCACGATGCTTCCCTAAGGAAGCAGATTTCCTCTGGCACCAGCCTTTGACAGACTGCGCTGTGACAGTGGCAGTAATGAGCAATCAGCCACAATTAATGTGGTGGCTGTTCTCAAGGGCACGTAAAAAGTATCACTTGTTTCTCAGTCTTCCTTTACAATCAGTAAACTCATTGGCAAACTGTAACATCATCATCATGACATATTTCCATTTTTAAATTTCACGGTGTAACACCTGGCACACCGCAAGTGTAAAGAGGCTCCTGAAAAGCAGATTAAACCTTCCGTGATCACAGCTGAGGAGAACTGCACATTTCAACATGGGGAAGGAACCTCAGAAACCAAGTTAAGAAAAGCTTCAAAATTCACTTTAGAACTCCGAAATATACATATATATATATACACTCCCAAATAAATATATATACACATATATATACATATATACACACACATACACACACACACACACACATATACATATATAAATACACACACATATATACATATATACATATATACATATATATACATATATATATACACACACCCACTTATATATACATATATATACATACATATATATACATGTATCTATATATACATATATATACATATATCTATATACACATATATATACATATATATATATACATTACTAACAGTAGGTTGCGGTTTTCAAAGGAATACAAAATCCAAAGCTACATCATACAACTGAAAACATTCTCTCGTTGAAAATAAAACACCACTGTGTAAAAATATAGACTTTTAGCCGGTTTCAGCACACAGGAGCACTCTGATTTAGCGGATTTTTTTAATTATTTTTCCCRTGAGCGCGGCTCCCCCCGGGAGCGCCCCTGGTTGGAGCTGCGGCGCCACCTCCCGGGCAGTGCCGGCAGTGCAGCCCCGCGCACGGAGCCCCGAGAGCAATTCCCGAGGGATTCTCATCCCTGAAGGATAATAGCTTTTACAAATTGGAGCCAACAAGATCTTTCTGCTCGCCCCAGGGTCCGGGGGCTGCTCCAGTATCGGCAGCGATCGCTGCGAGTGTCCGCTGGGGTTTAGGGAGCGCCTTCCTCTCCTTCCTGCAATCCCTCCCACCTGCTGCCCATGGGCACCCARCCTGGCATCCTCACTGAAAGCCAACTTTATTAAAAAAAAACAGCAAAAGAAACAAGAGACGAAATCTCCAAGAAAAGCATTTTTAAGGAATAACCCAATAGAATAATCAGCACAAAAATGTGGCCAGCTGATGATTGCATGCACTGCTCAGTGTTAGATAAAAATCTGGTGCAACAGGAAGCATTCTGGGCTGTTTGCTCTCCTGCCTCTCTGCTCTGTGTCCCAGAAGACAATTGCTTAAAAGGCAGTACATCAGMTTCAGAGCTAATAGATACGGGGTTAGCAACTCGGGAATTCAGTAATATTCTAGTTTTACATCACTGACWGAAAATATAATAACAGGATAAACCAATGTGGGTCARGTCAGTAATCAATGGAACTTGAATRTAACGCTAAGACAAAAATAATTTTAGATAGTGYCTGCAGTGAATTATCTAACTCCAGATCTACAGGCCTATTCTCACACAGTTATTGTCACAAATTTCATGGAATGTTACAATGGTATCAGGATTTGGCCTGCAATATTAAACCAAGGGCCCAGGCCAGCAATCACTTCACTCCCAAAAACTCCACTGAAGTCAACAGAAGACTCTCATTACCCACCACTGACAGAACCCAGAGGTAAAAACGACTCTTCCAAAAAACTGAAACGAACAGACCACGAATATATCACAACGAGCTCCCCTGGCTGACAGCTTGTGGGCTACTGCCCAACAGTTTGATTGTAAAAAGAATCTGTTGTGTAAGGTAATGGAGTAAGTGCCTTCAGGATGTGCATTTGGTGAGGGGYAGGAACAGCAAACCTCACCTTCTGCCTCACTAAAGCATAACATCAGAAATTAAGAGGAGGGTAACACCCTCTTCCAGCCTAATTTAAAGCCATCCACTGTTCCTTTGTTACCTTGTGTTTTTAAAATGTCTATTATATAATGAATAAATATGAATAATTTTTAAATAGATAATTTGCCAGAAGAGAAAGGGACACTACAGCAAAGACATGCGTTCTCAAACTGAGGTAGAGAGAGAACTTCCAAATATATTCCCATGGCTTGCAAACCCAGGACATCACAGTCACCCACTGAAGTTTCCCGGTTGCACATTTCATAAAATCTACTCCAGTTAAAAACTAAATGAGGGAACAGTAAGTACAAACACAAATTTTAATTTTGTGTGTAATTCCTTCCTAAATCATACAAAGACAAATTCTTTTGCTGGTTGAAAACTTCAGTTGTGCTAATGACTTAATAAATCATGCTTGCCAATAATTTTATTTTTAAATTTAATTATCCACCCGGTCAATAATTCTGTTTCTTACTGAAATATTGTTGARATGGGACATTGCTTGGAGTGCCTGGGTGAGAAGCACACGTGGCAGCCATGTGGATACAGCAGTGAAATATTAATGCCAATGCTTTGCTGGGAGTCAGCAGTGATGGAACACTTGGAAGGGCTGTTCCTAAACAATGATGCAACCAGGAATGCTCCAGCCCTCTGGGGTGTTAACTTGAYAAACATTTGAGTAACAGGAACTTTATTTTTCTTGCTGTGATTAATGCAAACAAGATGATAAGGGAAACTAAAGGTAAAAATTGCTGCTATTTCTCTTTTGGTACAGAAAATCCCTAGTGTTCCTGTTTTGCTTAAAAATAGGCTTTATTGAAATTTCTGCACATATATTAAATTAACTTTAACACTTTAGCATGACAAATAGGGGTTATTACACAGCACTAGAGCATTCCAACATTCCATTTCAATGTAAAATGAACATAATTACAGCAATTTTTGGCTTTGCTATTTTGCTGTAATGGAGGTCTGCATCTTTTGCAGAAGCAACTTGTATATTYATTTTCCTTGGGGTTTCTTTCATGCTAAGTGCTGTTTCCAAACGTAAATTTACCAAAAACTATGATGTAGTATGAAGCAATATAAAGTAACTGATCTAGTGTATTTAATTTTTAATAAGCATTATTAACACTAAGGAAAAAAACCCAAACAAATACAACACATATAGTTAAATAAAACAATTAATAAATAACATTCTTACCAAAGGCCTTAATTCTGGGTGAGTCAAAATATATCCATTGTTTGTAATTGCAAAAGCATATCCATGAATACCCAACTGTAAAAGAAAATGAGAAAGAAATAGTAATTAACAAGGTCTCCAGTAAATCCTTGCACAAAAATCAGGCAAGAATTTGGCTGTGCAGGGCAGTTGGCAGTCACAGCCCTTACCCACACAGAGTTTTGTTATAGCATAGGAAAGATCTTTCACATTTTGTGCAAATGAGAACCTGTCATTGTGATGAATTCTGCACACAGCACAATTTTAAACTGCCCCACAGCTCTGCTATCCAGGGCAGCTGTTCCTGYRTGTGCCAGAGGGAATTAYACACATGTATAMATAYATAATAATCTATATATGAGGTGCCACAGTGTGTGGCATACACAGAACATGTGACAGGGCAAAGAGAACCTGGAATTTTGTCAATTCCTCTCTTCCTGTGAGTGCACAGCTTCACCTGTGTTGGTAAAGAGCTGAACCCGAAGATAAGGAATGCACAGCTACAGTAGCAACAGTGACCTGTCCTATGTGACATTCACATCTTCCCTTCTAAAGGCTCTCTGCTCATTCCAGTTCAGCTGGAGCCACAGAAGGCAGCTATTTCTGCTAAAGAAATTCCTCCAAATTCACATTTCTGTACTGAGTGGGACTGGGGGAGATTCCTCGAGAGCAGTGAAACACTGGATGAGGCCTAGCAGTGTCAAATTTAGCATTGTACCTATTGGAATAAAAATACTGGTCTGTATAACAATATGCCTATTACACAGCTGATTGCATCCACTGAACACAATAAATGTGCTTTTAAACCATTTGTGTGGTCATTCAAACACCCCTTCTTAGCATAAACCTGCTGCTAATGTAGGCTTTTTCTACAGGTTCACAATGTATCTCTTGCCATGCAGAGCACATCTTCCAATCCCTCCTCACTCATTTTTTTCAATTCTGAAGAAAGGTAATTTCTTATGTATTTTTATTTAAGCATCTCAAGACACTGAGGTATTAAATCGCAACCAAACCAAACCAAACCAAACCAAAACAAACCAAACCAAACCAAACCAAACCAAACCAAAAATCAAACTTGAAAGTCCAACAAAATCTTGCTTTGATATTTACATTTTTCACTACTAAATCATTTTCTTTTACTTGAGTGTTATTCTTAAATGCTTTGCTGAACTGRGCYTTTAGAAATWTGTCTGACATGAAGCAACTTGAGCAAGGCTGAAAAGCCAAAATCCTTTTTAAAAGGCAAAAAAAAGAGAGCACGCTTATTCTGTAATTTCTGGAAGTACAAACCAGGGTATGATATTATGGCAAGGTCACAGGTAAAACATTCCAGGTTAATTTATAGTGTCTCTGTATGAATGATTGTATATAGGCAGCTGTGTCTGCCACACAGAAGATTGTTTCATAAATTGGTGKTTTTCCTAAAGCAATAAACTTCAGGGAGAGCAACAGAAGGTGATATGTTCTTGGCATCTCTTCATAAAGGAGTGATAACCAAAATAATAACAGTGGACATATTTTAGCTGTTTTAGTGTGACAAGAGTACAAGCTGTTGGCTAAATATCAGGTCTCAAGTATAATTGTCTGTGTAGATAAGTGCAGGATGACATCCATGAAAGGGAAGGCAGGTAAGGAAACCAYTGTGGGTGGTATAATTCACAGGAAAAAAACATTTGCCTGTTTGAGGCCTGCACAGGACCYGAGGGTAGTATTTCATTGTGTTCTGTGCAATGTGTGAAACTGCACAGTCTCTGCAGGGTCTGAGAGATGATACCACTCACAGCAGCACTGACATGTYAAACCTTGACTTCTGTCTCTGAATCACAGATTCAGAAACAAAAAAAACTTCTCCTAACTGTTGTAAAATGTCACATGAAGGTCAATTATCATTAAATCCAACCCCACCTTACTCAGGAGAAACTGCCACTGACATCTGGGGAAGTTTAGTCAAGATAACAACTGCTGAATATGGCTTATTGCTATTATTCATCKTCCTCAGCAGAAAATCTGCCTCATCCAGGCTGGGAGGATTCCAAGSCAGCAGGTTTCTATTTCCAACCAATCATTTTATATCCCTGTGGGAATATTTTGTCACGTGTTGCCTCTGCAGGAAGGGGTCCCAGGGGTGATTATGCTTCTGCAATTGCACAGACTTTGTTTATGGGATGTGGGACTGGAAGTTATAACTCAAGTGATCTCACTTCCCCAACTGCATTGCACAACACTGSTGCCTCCTGCAAGAATCCTCTCTTGCAGCACATCCCTCAATAGAAAACACACCTTCAAATGGAAAGTCTAATATTCAGCAAGAAGAACATATATTACTTCCACAGAAAAAACTAATTATTAAATAAATTCTCCTTTTCTGAATCAGTCTCACTCTGTTACTATACCTGTTATTCAGCCCTCCCACTCTCTCTGGGTTTTTATATTCAGGCTTTGTTTCAATCTTACAGATTCTCAGGAATAACATCACTGTGAGATGGCTTTTCCTATCAGCCAAGGGTTTATTTTTGCATGTACCACAGCATTGTTCTTCTTCCTGACCACAAATGAAACTTGCTCTCCCACAGCTCCTTACAGGCAACCCCAAAGATCATTTCAAATTTGCTCCTTTCTCTTCTACATTCTACTGACTGAGTGCACTGAGAGTGTTGCCTGTTATTTATCCCGAGCTGCAGTATCTCTGTTACTGTTCTGATATCAGTGTGCAGAATTCTGCTCCCTCTTCTCATAGTCTGAAGCTTTTTTCCCCCGGGACAGGTTTTTTCTCCCTTTCTGTCCTGGGTTTGCCCAGCACCAGGCCTTGAGGGATCCAGATCACAGGAAATTGCTCCAACACACCTTACCAACATTACTGCCACTCTTTCATGCATTATGATTACAATTTTTTAAAAAATTTAAGCTCTCCAGTTACTGCATATTGATCTGATCACATTGATTTGGTAAACCCTAATGCATTCAAATTAAAATTAAAATTGATAGGAGGAATTTTTATGTGAGAATATTGGAAGGCACTCACAAGTCAGCTTCTTTCTCCACCCTCTTAGAAATCACAAAATGAGAAGACGGCAGACAATTAAGAGAAAAGTATGATATACAAATTTATGCTCAGTACAGGTGCTGTCAAAATGTAGCATTCCAATGGCTGGCCTCTTCAGCAAAGGCTGTCTACAATATTGAGTTATGTGCTTGTTTGTCATTAAAAAAAATCCACTAGGAATTACGTGGAAAATATTAATTTCATTTTCATTTGTGAATAAAACAGTATTATAGTAAAACATCCGAATTTCATTGTAGAACTGCCACTGAGTTTGGAAAACTTAGTCAAAGAACATATCTAGCAAATACTGGATAACAGAGAAGGAACCACTAATCTGGTGAGGCAGGAACTTGTTTAAGTTCCTGCAATGTGCCACTTTCTTTAATTC